ACACACACACACACACACACAATGTGTATTTTTTAAAAATTTTATTTAAGACTTTTAAAAACTTTTTATTATTATTTTATGTGTATGCATGTGTTGCCTGCATGTAGGTAAGTGAACCAGTGTTCTTGACCACTGAGCCATCTCTCCAGCCCCACAATGTGTATTTTTGAGCTAATACATTTCCCTCTTTTTTTTACATCATCTAAGTGTTATCTCTCCCTTCTCTCCCCCCTGTATAGCCCTTCCTATTCCCTCCCCAGTTAAATTATCCTCTATTTTCCTCTTGATAATACCTGTCTCCTATACTAGTTGTTGGTCAGGGTAGTCCAAGAGACTCCTAAATAACACAGGCTATAGCTCTCGATTGCGTCCCAGAAGTTGAAGATAACACCCTACCACTGAAGACACATACTTTGGACACCGGACTTGGAGCAATCGAGGTGGAACTGAACTGGAAACCTTCTCCCAGAAGACTAGCTCTCACAGTATCAGAGTATACTATGTAAATTGCCAATGGAGAAAAATAAATGATCCCACCCAGCTGTAAAGTCTATGAACCACATCAATGACCAGCCCAGCAAATATTCTCTACTTGTACAGCAGTGGCATTTTTATCTTGGGGGTAATCAATGGCTGTTTAATGGGACTTAAGTTTCACTCAGTGGGAAGGAACTCATGTGTGGTCCTTATGTAAACACAGTCAAATACACAAAGCTGGAGAGGTCATAGATCCTAGAGAAAAACCTACTTTTGTCACATTCCCAAACCAATGTAATTTCTTAATGTATTCTAAATATGCATCCTTATATTTACAGACAAGTACACCTCTTACCACTTATCCAAGAAGCTTCTTTTTTAAAAAAAAAAAAACAGATAGAAACCATTACAAAGTTCCACAACTGGTCAAATACAGAGATTAAGTGTCTGAGGTGTCTAGCCCTAAGGGACACATCTATAATGCAACCTCTACACCTGTAGCTCAGGGAACACAGCAGAAAAGCGGGCGGAAAGAATACCGATACATCTGTCAACTCTCACCAGAGACCCCCTTCCTTATGCAGTAGATGGTGACTAACCCAGAAAGCCACAACTGGCCAAAGTACAGAGAATAAGAGACTGCACAGAACTTATCCCTGAATAGGACATCTATAAGAAACCTCTGCCACCCAAGGCTCAAGGACCATCTGGAAGAGGGGACAGAAAGATTTTAAGAGCTAGAAGTAGGGGATGACCACAAGGAAACAGTTTCCTAGACAACAACAAAATTACTCATATTAATTCTCCTTAAATGTGAACACATGCACAATACCTGCACAAGCTCAAGCCACACATAATCCCAGCATAGAAATGGGGAAGAAGCCTCAACCTTAGCTGAGAACTACTGGCCACCAATAACTGCTGGGAGAGGGAGAGTCATTTTTCTTTAAGGGTGTGCTGCTAGATAAGTAAATCAAGCTCCAGTGGATGGACACAGAGCAAACAACATTTGGGGACTCAAACTTGATTGGATATGCCTTAATATATATGACAGAGTACATGAAATGGGGGCAGGGGGCTACAAAGGGGTACAGATAGGGGAGGGAATCTAAATGTGATCAAAATATATTGTATGAAATTTACAAACATTCAATAAAAATTAAAAAATATTTAAAATCTTATATTCCATCAAATTAGAAAATCTAAAAGAAACAGATGAATTTCTAGGCTCAAATGACCCAACAAAACTAAACCAAGATGAGTTAAATAATTTAGACAGATTTAGACAGATCTATAACCAGCTGAAGCAGTAATGAAAAATTTCTCAATTAAAAAAGATCCAGGCCTGCCAGGCATGGTGGCACATGCCTTTATTCCCAGCATTCAGGAGGCAGAGGTAGGTGAATCTCTGAGATTGGGGCCAGCCTGGTCTACATAGAGAGTTCCAGGCCAGCTGAGGCTACAGGGAGACTCTATTAAAAAAATGCAGGCTCAAGTCAGATGTGGCAGCACACATCCTTAATACCAGCATTTGGAGCCAGAGGCAGGTGGAGTTCCTGTGAGTTCCAGGCCAGCCTGGTCTACATAGTGAGTTCCAGGTCAGGCAGGGCTACATAGTAAGACCCTTTTGAAAAAAAAAAACAAAGTCCAGGCTCAGATGGATTGACTCTAAAATTCTACCAGATCTTTAAATAAGAACTAACACCAATGCTTTTCAAACAATTTCATAAAATAAAAAGGGAAGGAACACTATCACACTGTTTAAGAAGCCAGTATCATCTTAATATCAAAACCATATAAAGAAAACAATAAAAAAGAAAATGATAGACCAAGCTCCCTGATGAACATAGATGCAAAATTTCTAAGTAAAATACAAACTGAATTCAAGAGCACATCAAAAAGGTCACTTACCACAAGAAAGGTTTTATCCCAGAGTCAGGGACTTTTCAACATATACAAATCAGTAAATACAGTACATGTCATAAATTGGACTCAAAGACAGAAACTACATCTCAATAGATAAGAGAAAAGGCATTTAAAAAAAATCCAAGATGCTTTCATGATAAAAGCTCTAAAGAAACAAAGAATAGAAGGAATGTATCTAAATGCAATAAAGGCTGTATATAATAAATCTATAGCCAACATATACTAAATGGTGAAAAACTGAATGCATTTCCACTAACATGAGGAATAAGACAAGGGTGTCAACTTCCCCTATTCTTATTTAATATAGTACTTGAAGCCTTAACTACCGTATTAAGAGAGGGAAATAAAAGGGATACAAATAGGAAAGTTAAGAGTCAAATTATCCTTATTTGCAAATGACATGATTCTATACATGAGACCCTAGATTCCAACAGAAAATTCTTAAATCTCATAAATGTTTTCAGCAAAGTGGCAGGATACAAAATTAACATACTAATATAACATCAGTAGCTTTCCTATATACCAGTAACAAACATGCTGAGAAAGATATAAAAATACAATCCTATTCACAACTGCCTCAAAAAATATCTTGGACGGGCTAGCTGGCGAAATGTCTCAGAGGGGAAAGGGCACTTGTCGCCAACCCTGACAACCTAAAATTTCATTATGGAACCCACATGGTGGGAGGACAGAATTGACTTCTGAATGTTGTCCTGTGACCTCCACATATTTGCCATGGCATGTGTGTGCTCACACACATATACAAAATAAATAAATGTAAAATAAAAACCTCAGAATAAAACCTAAGCAAAGAACAAAAACTTTAATAAAAAACTGAAGAAAGAAATTGAAGAAGACACTAAAAACTGGAAAAACTTCTCATGTTCATAGATTGTAAGAATTATTATTATGAAAATGGTTACAGTACCAGAAGCTATCTGCAGATTCAACAATACTCAAAAATTCCAATGTCATTCTTCACAGAAATGGACACAGATCAATGGAACATAACAGAGGACTTAGAAAGACTACAAACCCCTGCAGCTACACCTGCCTGATTTTTGACAAAGATGCAAAAAATAAGTATTGGAGAAAAGACAGTATCTTCTACAAAAGGTGATGGCAAAACTGGATATCCACATGTGTCCCAGAGGTCTGATTCCTCCAAGGGGCGGGGCCTGCCGGAGAATTGACTGTGGAGGGGCTTCTGGGAGCCATCCTGTGATGGAAGCCCGCACAACAGCGGGGGTGGGGGGGTTGGAGAGAAAGATGGCCCTGGTGTCTCACCCACGTGGATGCAAGAGGGGGCATTTACTGACCTTGGGTGAGACTGCAGGCTCAAGATGCGTGGGCGAAAGTTAACGGAGACTGTGGGCTGGCGAGGAAGTGATCTGGAACTGTGGGCCTCACACAGCTGGGTGTCAGGTGTGCATTTCTTTGTAAGTCTCCCCATTTGCCCCCTCCCTACCCAAGGGCATAAACCATAATAAATTCACATAAAAATATGTTATATGGTTTGTCTGATTGCACAAGAGACCCCAAGAGAACTCAGGCAACACCACACATAGAATGAATCTAGATCTCCCTCTGTCTCTGCCTCTCTGTCTCAGTCTCTCTCTCTCTCTCTCTCTATCATCCTACATGGAAATCAACTCCAAATGGGTCAAAGATCTTAATGTGGGACAGGAAACCCTGAAATTGACAGAGGGAAAAGTGAGGAAAACACTACATTGACATAGGAAAGGACTTTCTATGTAGGACTCCAGTCACTAAGGGAATAGTCCCAATAACTGACAAATGCTATTTCATTAAATTAAAGCGGTTCTGTACAGCAAAAGAAACAGTTAACCAAGTACAGGGACAACCTACAAAATGAGATAAAAGCTTTTCTAACTATACAACTGGCACAAGATTATCATCTAGAATATACAAAGAACCAAAAACAAACAACTCATGGCTGGAAAGATAGGTCAGCAGTTAAGAGCATTTGCTGCTCTTCCAGGGACTCAAGTTTGGTTTTCAGCATCCACATTGGTTCATATATCACATATCTGGTAATAGGAGTCTCAGCTATTTCCTTTTATTTTATCAGGTACTACAAGAAACCATCCTGGTCACTGATTACAAATGCATCTTCTCATTACAAAAGGAAGTGGACTAGGTGGAAAAGTGGACTAGGAAGTGGAAAGAATGTTTGAAGAGAAAGAAAATCAAAAGATTATGACTCAATCTCAGCTTCCTCAGTTCAAATTCTTTTCCTGGCCATTAATAATTACCTACAAGATCATTCACAATTCCTATCACCTTTAGATCCCAAAATATTCAGCTTATACATTCCACTCATTTTCTCCTTTTTCCTCTACTCTGTGGTTCCTATTTCTAGCTATCTTTCAGAACTTTTACAGGTTGTGAACTTTTCAGTATTATCAGAAAGCAGGGAAGAAAAAGTGGACATTTCACAAATCAGCATAAACTATAAATTAACCATGTCATTTTGAACACTGTTTTCTATTCAAAATAAATTTCACTAATGTTCTAAGTATATGTATATTTTTTCAATAAGACAATATGAACAAGTAAGAAAGTCTAAATCTCACCTGATGTTTCATGTAATGATTCATGTAAGGGGCTGCCATTTTACTAACTTTGAGGCAAAATGGACATAGCAAACACTTAGTGTTTTCATGAGATGCTCTAAAATGAATTTCTACATCAGAAAATATGGATGATCTAAATTGGCAAACCTAGAAATATAAATAAGGTTAAATTTAACATAAAAATTTATAATTTTCATACAATTGACATCAAGTTAGCAATGATAAATCATTGGTTCAGAGGAAAATCCTGCACTAGAGGTATTTCAAGTCATAGCTAGACTTTCTTCTTCTCTTCTAATCTATAATTCTTTATCTTGACTTAAAAGTCCAAGCTCTGACATCTCTTGCTCTATAGTTTCTTTTCTGGTCTTTTTGAGACAGCGTCTTCCTGTAGCTCCAGCTAGCCTGAAACTCACTATGGAAACCAGGCTAACCCCGAACTCACAGAGATTCACCTCCTGAGTGAATCTCTGCCTCCTGAGTGCTGGGATTCAAGGCGTGCGCGACCACACCCAGTGCTCTATAGTTTTTTACTGCTGCATAAAATAGTGTTTCTTCTTTAGATTTTAAAGGCTAAGTCAGAAACAATTTATGTTTATGCAATTATCATATTACTGGGAGTTGCTTTAAACTCTGGAAAAACGCTGGTCAAAAAATATTTAGTTAGGGGTACTGGAGAAATGGCTCAGAGGTTAAGAGCTCTGACTCTCTTGCAGAGGACCCAGGTTCGATTCCCAGCACCCACATAGTGGCTAAACCGTCAGTGACTCCAGTTCCAGGGGAATCCAGCTCTCTCTTCTAACTCCACGGGCATTGTATAACACGGGTGCACTTTACACACTTGCAGGCAATACATTCGTACACATAAAATTTAAAAAAATTTTTAAAAATATTTAGTTTCTCTACAATGAGTGTATTTCTTATTTCCCTGACACATCTATAGTCTTCCCTATGTGATAAACTCATGTTTATCTTTTGACAATAGTCCGTATACTATGGCCTGAGGGTCAAATCCAGCCCACTAACCCCCCACACAATTCATGAGTTCAACCAAGGGGGAATTTCACTAATGCAGAAGTTTTTCATTTTAGTATACTAACTACTTACATGATTCAAAAACCAAAAGAATAATACTATTTCATGTCACACAAACACTGAACAGAACCCAAGTAGACAATAAATGTGTATACCTGACAAACATATGGCATTTCCCCAGGTTTATGAGTCTCCTTCATATGTTGTAAAAGACTATGTTCTGATTCAAATGACAATTCACAGATTTTACAAATAGCTGAAAAGGAAAAAATACATTACATCATTTTTCACATGCATTTTGAGGATGCATTTTGTTCAACCATAACAAGTATAAGAGTAACACTACTACTAGTAGTAATAGTGAGGGTGGGTCTAATAAACTCTACCACTATTGACTCTATAACACTATTCTGAGGAACTGGGGACCAACATTTTTAATGTTCTAGTTCAATCCCTAGTACTGCAAACAAATAAAACACAGGTCTAATATTGTAATTCCTCTCACAATATTAATGAGGGAGGAATTAATACTTATGTCCCCATTTTTCAGACAAGGAACCAGAAGTACAGAAAGATTAACTTGCCTGAGATCCCAAAGTTGTATTAAGAGGCAGTGCTGGGATGTGAACACAAACTATATATATATAGTTCCCAGACTGTGTTAACTGTCACTGTAGTTAGTTTTCATATTAAGTGTAAATCAAGACCAAAGATTTTAAATTTGAAAGTCATGTAATCCTCTCTATAAAACATAATCAATTATGCAAGGAATTCCTACTAATGAATTACTTATGAGAAGATTTTCATTTTATTGACAAATTTTAACTTTATGAGTTTGAATATGTTTTTTAATTTCACTACCAAATTATAAGGTCTATTTATGATTATTTCTATGAGAATTCTTAAGGCTCCCTCACAGTCAAATAAATTCCAAAAAATGCACGAGTTCTATGAAACTGCCACTTACTAGAAAACTCATGGGGTGTGTGTGTACTCTCGATGTGGCACTGCAGCTGGAAGGGTGTGGGGTACTGCCGATAGCAGTGCTGGCATGTGGTGTGGTTTTCCCAGCTCTCACTGTTCTGCTTTTCAAGTTCCAAGTGGTGTTTCATGTGGTTCATGAACCTATAAATTTGTCAAACAGGTGTAAAAATGCAGATTTATAAAAAGAAAAAAAAATCACATTATTACTTTTAACGCCTTTAAAGCCCTCTAGAAGAGTGAATACTTTAGTTGGTCCTGGTGACATGTGCCTGGAGAATCAACTACCAGGAAGCTGAGAAAGAAGGATTCATTTGAAGTTATAAACTCAAAGCCAGCTTAGGCAACCCAGCAGATTCCACCATCAAACAAAAGATATGTAATTTAAAAAACTTAATTTCAGGGTTAGGATGTGACTCAGTTGGTAGACTGCTTGCCTGGCATACATAAAACCCTGGGTTCATTCCACTGCACCACATAAACTGAGCATGGTGTTGCATAATTGTAATCCCATCTCAGGAGGATTAAAAGGTCATGGTCATCCTCTACTCCATAGCAAACAACCTTGGCTGAATGAGATCCTGCCTCAAAAGAAAAAGAATGCTTAATTTCATTTAGCTCATTAAAATTATTTTCACATTTTTGTTTTAAAAATTATCCAATAATATATCCAGTATGAGATATCACTAGTTTGCTATAACTACCTCTATTTCAGATATATGCTTACTCCTGGTAAAGTAAAATAGCAAGCCTCTTTTCCATATATAAAATATTATTTGCATTTCAAAATAAAAATTAAAGGAAACTACCATCAAAAGCAACATGACTTCGCACTGGAGAAATGGCTCAGCAGTTATGAGCACTGGCAGTTCTTCCAGAGGACCTGGGTTTGGTTCCCAGCACCCATATGGCAACTAATGATTGTCTGTAACTCCAGTTCCAGGGGAGCCAATGTCCTCTTCTGGCCTCCATGGGCATTACATGCATAGGTGTACTTATATACATGCAGGCAAAACACTCATACACATAAGAAAATTTTTTTTTTAAAAAGCAGCATGACTCATAGAAGAAGATCTTACTATGTAGCACTGGCTGGTCTGAAACTTACTATGTAGACTAGGCTGGCCTGGAACTCATAGAGGTCTACCTGCTTCTGCCTCCCCAGTGCTGGGATTAAAGGTACATGCCACCATACTTTTTTAAAGGTCTTGAAAGGCACTACTGTCAAAATGCATGTAAATAAAACGGTTACTGCCCATAATTTTAAGAAATTTTGTTTTATTTAAAAATGACAACTTACTACTGTAACCAACTGGCATAGCTCAATTCTGAGACGTTCCCTGAAGGCTCTTGTATCGAGGGCTTGGATACAAGGATACCAGCTGACAGGCATTTTGGGAAGTGACTGGATCCTGAGGGCTCTGATTTAATCAACCAATTAATCCCTCAATGGATTCATAATATGATGGCATTATTGGTTGGTGGGGTCTAGGTGGGGGCAGTAGGTCACTAGAGGCATGTCCCGAAAAGATGTACATGTCCCTGGAACCTTCTTGTCTTGCTCTTTCCTTCTTGGCTGCCAGATGAACAGCTTTCCTTCAGCATGTTCTTCCTCCATGATGTTCCTGCCTTGCTACAGGCCGAAAAGCAATGGGATCAGCTAATGATGGACTGAAACCTCTGAAACCGTGAGCTCAAAGAAATTTTCTACCTTTGTTTCTCTCAGGTATTTGTCACAATGACAAAAATCCTGATACAAAAAATGTTATTTTACTTTGCAGCACCTTCAATTTTTCAGTTTTACATTCTACCATTTCAGCCTTCCTAAAACAGGCTTTGTTTTCTTTTTTTCTTTCTTTCTTTTTGAGACAGGTCTCCTTGTAGCCCCAGCTGTCCTGGAACTCGCTATGTAGACCAGGCTGGTCTCGAACTCACAAAGACCTGCCTGCCTCTGCCTCCCAACAGGCTTCTTTTTTAATTAACTGATTAAAAAAAATTTTTAATGTGTAACAGTATTTTGCCTGAATGTGCATGCAATACCTGTAGAGGTCAGAAGAGGGCGTCAGAGCCCCAGTAGCTGGAGTTACAGATAGTTGAGAGCAGCCATGTGGGTGCTGGGAACTGAAACCAGCTCCTCTGGAAGAGCAGCCAGTGCTCTTAACTGCAGAGCAACCTCTCCAGCCCCCCAAATGCTTCTTATGAGGAGGAACTTTAAAATTTCATGGCAGAGAATTCAATAAAAATGGGCATACCCATTTTAAAATTTTTACCTAACTATATTTCAAAGTAAAAGCATTCAGTCAAATCAATTTGCTAGGTGTGGTGGCTCACACCTCCAACCCCAACCGCAGCACTAAGGAGGTAGAGGTAAGAGGCTTCAAGGTTTTCTGAGTTTCCAAAAAAGCAAGAAAACAAAAAACAATTTGAAGACTAGGTTGGCTATAATAATTCACTATGAACCCCTAAAGAAAACCATCCTAAAAATGGAGTGAGTGCACGTAGAAGACCTGTACAAGATCACGTCAGCCAAAATCCCAGTATGGATGAGGAGTGGCTCATGAAGTCCCACACCTAGCTGAGGAGGTTCTGACAACTGATGGTTGCTGGCAGGAGAGAAAAGTTGGTTTTCTTCAGAGATATGGTACTTGAGAGGCTACCTATGCTCCAGTAGATGGTCCTACAACCATGCACATACAAGCAGCACTAACTAGACTCAGTGGGTTTTTTAAAAAAGAGCCCACGAACTTGGGAGGGAAAAGGGGTGAAGTGGATAGGGTGGAGTTGAGGAAGGGAATGGGGAGTGGATTTGATCAAAATGAATTATATGCGGGGCTGGAGAGATGGCTCAGTGGTGAGCACTGGTTGTTCTTGTAGAGGACTTGGGTTTGATTTCCATCACCCACATGGTGTCTGTAACTCCAATTCCGGGGGAACTCAATGCCCTCTTCTGACCTATACGGGCATTGCACAACATGGGTGCACTTACATACATGCAGGCAATACACTCATAGAATAAAAATAATATTTTAAAAAATGCATTATATGCATATATGAAACTCTCAAATAATTTTTAAAAAGCAAAAAAGGCTGCTAACCCATATTCTGCTTCTCAGTTTTCCTAAAGCTGTACTATATATAGACAGTGTCTCTACTGTCTACAAGCTACCTGGAGATTCTGCTAGACTCATTTTTGTATTCAGGGTGCATAACCCAAATCTTAAAAATAGTAGTGATTTAGTAAGCATCAGTGGAACAAAAGAATGAATACCAGTTTTAGAGCAAGTTCCTAGGTTTTATTTACCCAATTTTTTTCTAAAAAATCTTGGAGGAAGTATTAACAATAAATCTCCAGAAAGATCACAAAAAAAGTTAGAAAAACACCTCACCTAATATAACTGTCAGTCTATAAAAGTAACGGAAAATACTCAATTTGTCTTGTTACTTTGTTACCATTGTACTCAGATTATAATGTGTACATCTTTAAAATTTAAGACAAAAATGTATAAAATCTTTAGAATTTCAGCCAGGTGTGATGAGGCATGCATGCTTTTAATCTCAGCACTTGAGAAGTAGAGGCAGGCAGATCTCTGTGAGTTCAAGGGGTGATAGCTGGGGCTACATAGTGAGACCTTGTCTCAAAAGAAAAATCTTCAGTAGTGCACTGAGAATTATATTTATGTTATAAAATGTGTATATTATATAAAATCAAAGCTGACATGTTACTTACAACATGAACTTCTCTAAAGAAAATAGCAAAAAAGTATTGTTCTCTAAGGAAAATATGCTGAAAATTATAAATATGAATTGAAAATTTTAAGCATTAAATAAGATTAGTGTGTAGGTGGTTTGACCTACCTTGTGATACAATGAAATGTTAAGAGCCAAGCAACCAGAAAATAAAATACAGGAGAAAAGGTACAATTGTCTTAAAGTTACATTAAATACTCTTGCATTACTTAACCTATCTGAAAAATTTATAACTAGGTTGATCCATGTGTCAAACTACAAAAAAACACAAGAAAATATAAAAGCAATCAGCATAATGAACAACTCTTCTTCTTAGTAGAAAGTATTACATTGATTTACCTAGGATAGGAAAGAATAAAATACAACATTCATATTAAAAGATCAATATGAAAATTATAATTTCTTAATTTAGAAACAAAAGTACTCACATACCTAATATTACTTTTAAGAACTTTTGAGCAACTGAAGCATTTAAAAGTTGTGGAAATCTTTGGCTCTTCATCGCCAGCTCCTTCATATCTTCCATAATAAAAGTCACTAACTAGCATGATTAATTTTCCTGTATCTGGATCAGTATTAGCTTTGTTTTCAGCACTTGACTGTTCTGCTTTAGAAGTATCCGGAAAATTATTTAGCATGTCTGGGCAACAATGCTGAACGAGAAAAAACAATATATCTTATTTGTATCTCTTACAAAAATCAGAAGCAAAAAATGAGTTCTGTGCTTACACCAAGTTTCAGATCATATAAAGTTATGTTTGACAGTATGTCTGGAAAGATATTCAACCAGAACACTGGTATACTCCCTTATAAATTGTAAAAAGATAAAAATAAAAACCCCCTCCAATTAGCACCTACTGTCTTAATAAAAGAAATATATTCTAATACAAATTGAAAAGTTTAAGTTTAGAGATATCCAGGACCTTGTAAAATTCCTTTTCAAAGTATTTAATAATTTCCTTTTAGATCAAGAATCATATATTTTGTGGTTGGAGAGATGGCTCAGAGGTTAAGAACACTGGTTGTTCTTGCAGAAGACCCGGGTTTGAATCCCAGCACCGACATGGCAGCTAACAACTGTCCATAACTCCAGTCCCAGGGGATCTGACAGCCTCTTCTGACCTCCACAGGCACTGCATAACATGGGAGCACTTACCCACATGCAGGCAATACATACATACACATAAAATAAAAATAATAAAATTTTTTTAAAAGTTAAAAAAAAGAATCATACATTTCATATTAATGTCAAGCTATAACTTAAAAGGAAAGGTAGTTACATATATCATTATGTATAAAGCTTAATTATCATATGACATAGTAGTATTTTAGTAAAGCATAGCTGGAACCAGAATTTGAGTGCAGTTGACATGCTGTTCCCCAGACTCAAACTATAAGATGATGTGTGGTTCATGAAGACTCATTCGTTGCATCTTGAAAACCTCAACACATTCTACTGTGACACTTTAATATTTGATGGGGGAAATTTACTTCATGAATAACATTAAAACATCATTTAAAATGATTCTAATGAGGAGTACTTTCACACATATGCCTTTTTTTCCACTGAGAAAATTAATTTTTAAAATATTTTATTTGATTTAAAAAATTAATTTTTTTTCATTTTATGCATATCAATATATTGCCTGCACGTGTTTAAGTTCACCCTTGCCGTGCAATGCCCATGGAGGTCAAAGGTGGGTGTTGGGTCTCCTGGAACTGGAGTTACGGACATTGTTACCCACCATGTGGATGCTGGGACTGAACCTGGGTCCTCTCCAAAAGGAACCAGTGCTCTTACCTGCTGAGCCATCTCTTCTGCCCTGAGTAAATTAACTTTTATTGAATACAATTTTCAGTTGTAGAATTTCTCTAGGATTCTCTAAGAATGACTGGAGAACAAAAATGAAATGAGAAAAAAGTATATGCAAGCCATAGAATTGTTATAATTGCTTAATATTTAAATATTTGTATTATGAAATGTTGGAAAACCACCATAAGGATTTTTAAAATTCAGAATGAAAGGCCGGGTGTGGTGGTGCACGCCTTTAGCCTTTAGTCCCAGCACTGGGGAAGCAGACACAGGCAGATCTCTCTGAGTTCAAGGTCAGTCTGGTCCTGTTCTAGGACATCTGGGGCTACAGGGAGACCCTGTCTCAAAAACACGAAAAGTCAGTGTCAGTTCCCTCTCAAAGTCTTCTAGATAGGGGGAGAAAACAAATTTAGCCATTATTTTAGAACAATAGTGGGTTATCTCCCTTAGCTACAGGTGGGCACTACAGTATTTCAGGCCGAGATTTGAAGTCTTATATCTGAGCAGCACTTTCTGCTTAGAAACAAAATCATCAATGAGAAGTAATTGTCTAAATAACATTTTATATGGACTTAAGCCTAATGTCTCAGCAGTGTAACCATTGAACTTTTAAAGAAATATACTGATTGCTTTAATCTTTGGTTACACCTTCCTTTTGGGTGTTTAAGAACATACAGTTGGCCCAAATAAACCAATTTATTTTTCCTCTTTAGGTTGTTGGAGGATCTGTTCCTCAGGGTCACATGGGCTTGGGAGGAGGTCCTGGCTCCTTTCTTTTACCAGTTCCAGCTATGTGAAGATAAGTCATATGTCCTGCTTGACCGCAGCTGGCTTCACTTGGAAGCATGGAGGAAAAGTTTCCTCTGAATGGCCCTCCTCTTTGAAGACTCAATACTGGTTCAAGTCCATGTGGTAGGGTCTCCATGACCTCCCTGAAGAGGACAGGTGACTCACCACAGTCACAGGACACTTTCAGAGATGTTCCACAGTCCCCTGGAACTTAGTCGACCTTGGAGGGCAAGGAGCAAAAACTGTCCTTTAAGTCCCTCTAACCAGATTAATATAGGCCTCAAAGTATGGCTATTAAACATCCAAGAAGGTTAGTTCTACCAGTCTAGTACTTTTAATTACCATGTGCTATGTAGATAAAGCTTGGGTAAAAACTTTGAGAGGGAACTGATTGACACTTATTCTAGCCACTCCAATATCTATCAAAGTGCCTGAAAACAAATCCTGAGTTCATCACTCTCGAGGCCAGGCTTGGCAGACAAAGTAAAATGAGGAGGAAGCCAACAGAGGAATGCTTTTGGAAGCTCTCATCAAGAAATCCCAATGGACTCTGAAATGAATATTTGAAATTTGCCCTGTTCTGTCTTTTTCCTGGTTCCCTGTCTAGAACTTGTAATGCTAACTACTCTTTCCTTTATTCCTTCCCATCCCCTATTCACCAGTCAAGGACTTTCTTTTCTCCCTAAAGATAAGGGTTATGCAATTTGGGAGTCTTTTAGATAGACCCACTGAAGGGGTACCCCAATTGCCTCACCCTGTGTCCCTGTTCAGCATGAAGAAGCCAGAGTGGTCTGTGTCCCAATTTCCTATTGGCAATTTTGGTAACCTCTTCAGAGGATGGTGTGATAAGACTAGGAGGTAGAAATTGGCTAGGCAATTAGGGTAAAAAGACTCCAAAGAAAAGTAGCCAGTATCTTGGCTAAAAGTCAAAATGTCCTTGGGCCTTTTAGCAACAACATACTCTGTTCCAAAACCAAAAAATGAATGTCAAAAGTATTTGGGAGCTCTTATCTAATCCCTAAAAGATTTTAGGGTTACCTCTTCAGAGGGGGGAAATGTTAGAGTAGCAAAAAGCCCCATTAAAAAAAAACCAGAGAGAACCAGTTTCCTCATGCTAGCATCTTTCCTGCGTGGGTCTGGCAGCACAGTGCCTTGACTCCCCCAGCCTCATTCACCCTCCCAGCTCCAGGGCCCCGTCTCTCCTCCTAGCTTGGGTACTGGCTGATTTCTTGTCTTGGCATCCCAGACATCTGGGCTCATATTGGCCCAGAGTCCCCACTGCTTCCTGATCTTTGAATCCAGACCAACACAGTTCCTCCCTGCCATACTGTCCTAGTTTGTTCTTCATTGCTGTGACAAAACACTCTGACCACTACCAACTTGGGGAGGAAAGGGTTTATTTATCTTACATCTCCCGGGTCACAGTTCATCAGGGAGCCCAAGGTAGGAACTCAGGGCAGGAACCTAGAGGCAGGAGCTGGAGCACAGGCCATGGAGGAATGCTGCTTACTGGCTTGCTCCTATGGCCCCTACTCAACCTGCTTTCTTATGCAATACAGGCCCATCTGCCCAGGGGTGGCACCACCCACAGTGGGCTGGGTCCTCCCACATCACTCATTAAGAAGATGCCCCTCAGACATGGCCACAAGCCAGTCCAATAGAGGAAATTCCCCAATTGAGGCTCCCTCAGCCCAGGTATGTCAAGTTGACACTAAAGCTATCCAGCACACATACCCAGGAGCTCTCAGGGCCTGGTCCCGACCCCACCTACCATTGCTTCCCTGGGCTACACATCCCCTGGCTTCCTGAGACCAGCATCTTTCCTGGGCCCTGCTCCCAGGCCAGCCCAGCCCCCAAATTCCTGAGGGCAGCATCTTTCCTAGAGGGATCCAGACCTTAAGAGGAAGCCTGAGAGCATCTGATCCTCATTCGACTTGGGCCTCTGTGGGAACTCCTAAAGACGAAAGTAATTTGGCCACTCCAATATAAAATTAAAAGAGAGAACCTGAAGCCTAGACCAGCCAGCTTTTCATGCCCAAAAGGAAACCACAGAGGCACATAAAGTTTAAAAAGCAGATCTAAGCTCAACAAAGGAAGGCTTGAGTGTCACACAAGAATCAGAAACTACAAAAGAAATTCACATGTCAAACTCAGAGAAAGAATGACATGAAAAACCAAAATAATATATCCCCACCAAGTATCAAGTTCACGAAAGGAGTACAATGAGAACCCCCGAGATAACACAGGACATGGAACTCAAAAGAACGATTATAAACATGATAAAAGGATTCAGTGAATTTTTAAAAAATATTTTATATATTATTTTTATCTTATGTGTATGAATGTTATGCCTGCAGGTAGGTAAGTGCACCCGTGTCGTGCAATGCCCACGGAGGAAGAAGAGGCTGTCGGGTCACCTGGAACTAGAGTTATGCACAGTTATTAGCTGCCATGTGGGTGCTTGGATTCGAAACCGGGTCTTCTGCAAGAACAGAAGTGTTCTTAACTGCTGAGCCATCTCTCCAGCCCCCAGAACTTAGTGAACTTAAAGAACAGAAAAAGAAATCAAAGAACTTAAAGAAGATAGGGCTAAACTTCTGAATGAATTCAGAAAAGAGAAATATGACGAATACTCAGGCTGAAATGAAGAAGGAAGAGAAACATTCTGTAAGCTAATTAGAAACGACAGGAGAAAGCCTTACCAATAGGATGAATGAAATGGAAAACAGAGTATCAAGACTGGAAGATAAAGTGGACGAACTAGACCACTCAAGCAAAGATTATGAAAAATTTAAGAAAATACAAGAATGGAATATGCAGGAATTGTGTGATGCCATAAAAAGACCAAACTTGAGAATCATAGGCACACAGGAAGGAGAAGAATCCCAAGACAATGGTATGGACCAGATCTTCAACAGGATTGTAGAAGAAAATCTCCCAAAATTAAAGAAAGACATGCCCATACAAATACAAGAAGCACATAGAACACCAATTAGACAGGACCATAAAACAAACTCTCCATGCCATATTACAGTAAAAACACTAAACATA